GAGCGGCCCAGCTGAAGCCATCGAGCACGAGAAACAAAACCTCGGCGCGAGGTGCCATGACCGCAGCGAGGTCACGACGCATGCGGCGACGCTGTTAAAGGACGTTATCATCCGAACCTGCGGGGGCCTCGCCACCGCGCGCCACCATCATGCCGTCGACGCCAGTCGCGAAAGAGACGACGTGGATGTCGAGAGCTCCATCTGCACCACGAAGCTGCATACGGCCAGAGCTGCCCGGCACCACCTGTGACCAGCAAGGTGGGGCTACTGCGAACTTCCTGAAGGTGTTCATGACGATGCCAACGCCTGCTCGATGTGCGTGGGCTAAACCAGGCAGTGCAATCGCCTTCCAGCCCATGCGTGCCGAAGATGGCGACGCAGTCGCGGCCCTCGAGCAGCCGCCAGGCACACATGTCCTTGTCTGCGTGGCGGCGGCGTTTGCAGGCAAAGAGGGCTTGTGCATTCCATAGGGGAACGAAAAATGGCATAAACATGAAAACTCGGAGGTCCGCGCGGAGGTCTCGGATCCGCGCTGCACCCCCCTGGCGGCGCCTCCGGCGGCGCCCCTGACGCGCTCCGCGCGCCAGGGAGGGGGGTCCAGCACGGATCCGCGACATCCGCGCGGACCTCCGAGTTGTTGTGTTTATGCCATTCATCGTTCCCCTATTCCAGCAGCAGCCCCAGACATTGCCAACGCACGGGGATCGGAACTCCGCTGGTCCAAATGTGCCGGCGCTGGGGGCTGCCCACCGGGGGCGGACGTCGGCACCTTCTGCCGCAGTATGCGGTCCAGGCCTCCCCCCCCCAGGAGGAGGACGAGGAGGGGGAGGAGGAGGAGGAGGAGGAGGAGGAGGAGAACGGGGAGGAGGAGGAGGAGGAGGAGGAGGAGGGAGGAGGAGGAGGGGGAGGAGGAGGACACGACGTATCCAATAACGTCTGTCCGACCACCGGCCTCGACCTCGATCGACGCGGACGCATCGACGGAGGGCGAATGGGCCCCAGCTGGGTGGCGCTCGGGTTCTTTTTCGGCCTCCCGAGGGGCAGCGAAACCCTTTGCCACTTCCGCCACCAGCAGGACGAGGAGGGGGAGGAGGAGGAGGAGGAGGAGGAGGAGGAGGAGGAGGAGGAGGAGGAGGAGGAGGAGGAGGAAGAGGAGACGGAGGAGGGAAGGAGGAGGAGTTTTTTCAGCAGTTTCTTCTCTCACGAGGAGGTAGGAGGAGGAGGAGGAGGAGGAGGAGGAGGGAGGAGGAGCTGAAGGAGGAGGAGGAGGAGGAGGAGGCTGAGGAGGAGGAGGAGGAGGATGAGGAAAAAGGAGGAGCGGGAGGGAGGAGAGAGCGCGTTTCACGGGCGCTTGCCTATTCGGCGGCGCGTTTCGAACCGGGGGGGGGGGCCCCGCCCCAAGGCTCGGCGCCGTCGATCAGACCCAGGGGGACTCCCCTCCCCCCTAACCCCTCCCTCCCGAACCCCCTCCCCCTTCGGGGAGGGGGGGTCCAAACCCCCCCTCCCCCTGGCGCCGGCGCCGGCGCCGGCGCCTGCGCTGGCGGCGGCCAGCAGCGCCGACGGCGGGGACGTAGAGACGATGACCAGAGAGGGCCCAAGGCCGCAGAGGGGAAACACAAATCGCCATAGCCAGCCCGCGCCCCCCACTAGCCACCGAGAGGCCGTAGGAAGGTCCACAAGGCTTCACAAATGCTCCTCAGACGCCCCCAAGACCCATCTGACGAGACCTCAAAGAGGCATCCAAAAACACGGTGGCGGGAAGACCCGAATGCCACACCACCGCCACCACCACGACCCACAACACCACCACCACCACCGCCACCACCAACACCACAACCACCACAACCCACGACCATCGCCACCACCACCATCACCACAAACCACTAGACCACCACCACCACCACCACCACCACCACCACCACCACAAGACACCACCACCACCAAAAACGCCGCCACCACCAACAGCACCACCACAACCCACCACAACCCACCACAACCCAACACCACCACCACAAACCACCACACCACCACCACCACCACCACCACCATCACCACCACGCACCACCGCCACCACCACCACCATCACCACAACCCACCACCCACCACCACCACCCCACCACCCACCACCCCCACCCACCACCCACCACCACAACCCACCACCCACCACCATCCACCCACCACGCACAACCACCACCAGCACCAGCACCACCACCACCACAACCAGCAACCACCACCATCACCTCTACCACCCACCACCACCACCACCACCACCACCACCACCACCACCACCACCACAACCCACCACACCACACCACACACCACCACCACCACCACCACCACCACCACCACCACCACCACCACCACCACAAGACACCACCACCACAACCACCATCACCACCACCACAAACCACCACCACACCACCACCACCACCGCCACCGCCACCACCACCACAACCCACCACGACCACCACAACTACCACCACCACCACCAACCACCACACCACCACCACCACCACCACCGCCACAACCACCACCACCACCACCGCAGCCCAAGAGGCGCCCAGGAGGCTTTACAAATGCCCTTCAGAGACCCCCGAAAGCCTTCCGACGAGACCCCAAGAGGCATCCATTAGGACTCTGACCCAAAACCAAGGCACGGTGGCGGTGCTTCGTCGTCGTCGTCGTCGTCGTCGTCGTCGTCGTCGTCGTCGTCGTCGTCCTCGTCGACGCTCCCCGCCGCCGCCGCCAGCCGCCACAGGCGCCGTCACCGGCCCAGAAAAGGAACTCGTCGTCTTCATCGACGCTCCCCGACGCCACCGCCAGCCGCCGCCGCCGCCGGCGCCAGCCCAACGTGAGGGAGAGAGAAGAAGTAGGGGAGGAGGGGAGGGGACGGTAGGGGAGGGGGGTTCGACCCCCCCCCCTCCGTCACGGGAGGGATGGGGGGGGGGGTCCGGTTCCAAACCCTCCCCCACCTCCAAGCGACCACAGAACGCGCTCTTGCGGAGGGAGGGAGGAGGGCAGCCGAGCCAGAGCTGCAATGGCCTCCGGCGCTCCAGAGCCGCCAAGCATTATCGGAGTAACCCATCACCAGAGGGCCGATACCGAGAAGAGATAGAGTCATGCTGCTCCCATCGTACTTCAGGACCACATCCCAGAAATAATTTCGAGCATCCAGAAAAAATATGGAAACAATGTCGAACGAGTATCGCCTCCTAGGGCACGACACGTGAAAACCCTCCAGTTCCAGTAACTTTCTTTGTGCTAGAAACTATTTCTGTTGATCAAGGCTCAAGTAGGGTGAACATCATAAAGATAGAGGCACATCAGCATCAGGATCGAGACGACGAGAGGACATCACGAGGTCGAGGACGTAGCAGCGGATGCCGTCAGCCTCGGAAGCCTCCATTCACTGTGCAGTGGCCTCTGGGTCACTCGGGCTTGGGTTGGCCAGGACGCCCGAGCCCAGACTCCTCTCAGAATTACTGCCGAAACGGGGGGGGATCCTGAACAGAAGGAATCCTGAATAGGAGCCATTGATAAGTCGTCGTCGTCCGTCGTTCCCCTCCGCCTCCTCCAGCTCATTTTCCTCCTCCTCCTCCGCCTGTGGTCCCGCTTGGTGCCCCTTGGGCCATCCTCTGGGTCCCTCTGGGCCCCGCCCCGCTGAGAGCACCCACGGTGGTCGACTGGTGTGCTTGGGGGGGGACCAAAAAGGAGGTGTTTTGACTTTTGTTCCCCCCCCCACACGACCATCACCACCACCAGCTCTGGACTGGGAGGGGCCCCCGCTAAAGGGAAGACACCGCCGTGCGTCGCGGAAGAGAGAGCGAGAGAGAGAGAGAGGAATGGAGAACAGAGGGAAGAAGATCAGCCGAGCTGAACGCTGGACCACTTGATGCTTACCACCACCACCACCTCCCTCCCTCCCTCCCTCCCTCCCTGCCTCCCTCCCTCCGTCCCTCCCTCCCTCCCTGCCTCCCTCCCTTCCTCCCTCCCGCCCTCCCTCCCTCCCTCCCTCCCCTCCCCAATTACACAATATGAATACTACTTTCCTCTATCCCCTGACTCTGTTCGGAAGATGTCGCCCCCCCTTCCGCGTATTTTTCTTGCACACAAGATTCCGGCGAATTGGTCTTTCATATGTGTTTTCACACATCCGTTTCCTTCCGGTCCTTCAATATGTTGCTCCCGCTACAGCGCTGGCCTCATTTTCGGGATTCCGCTCGTTCCGAATCGTGCTCCCGCTGCAGCGTTGGCCCCATTTCCGCGCTTCCGCTCGTTTTTTCTGCAGCGCTGGCCTCATTTCCGCGCTTCTGCCCGTTCCGATGTGCTCCCACTGCAGCGCTGGCCGCATTTCCAGTGCCATGCCATGGTATGCAATGCAATGCTATGGTGTGCTCCGCTGTGCGATGCCATGCCTTCAGCTGCAATGCCATGATATGCAGTGCTTGACTATGTGGCTACGCAGTGCCACGCCATGCTATGTCATGCTACGCGTTGATCTTCATCGCCATGCTGTGCCATGTAATGCTATTCTATGCTACGACATCCGACTGCGCGAATAGAGAGGATATTTACGCCATGGTAAGGGAGTGAGGGAGGGGTAGGACGTCAGTCAAGACGCTTGCGAACCTAGCTTGCCCTCCTCCCCCTCCTCCTCCCCCTCCTCCCCCTCCCCCTCCCCCTCCCCCTCCTCCTCCTCCTCCTCCTCCTCCTCCTCCTCCTCCTCCTCCTCCTCCCTCTCCTGCTCCTCTCTCCCTCCTCCTCTCCTCCCTCCACTCCTCCTCCTCCTCCTCCTCCTCCTCCTCCTCCTTCCACTCCTCCTCCTCCTCCTCCTCCACCTCCTCCTCCTCTTCCTCCTCCTCTTCCTCTCCTGCTCCTGCTCCTCCTCCTCCTCCTCCTCCTCCGTCCCCTACTTTTGGAGCGCACCGACGCCAGGAGCAGGCCGAGGGCGCCGGCGGGCGCAGAGGAGGCCGAGGGCGCGCCACTGGTTCCCAAGGCTCCTCGGGGGGGTGCAGGGCCTGCTCGGCCGCGAGGAGCTGCGCGGCCCTCTGCTCCTGGGCCAGGGGTCGAAGCAAGCAAAAAGTGCAAGACTGAAACGCAAGTGCGGAAGGGCCAAAATGAGTGGCTTGGCCCCGAACCAAAAGGTTAGCAGATGTTTCTACTTCCCTGTCGCGAACACCACGTCGTGGGGACAGAAGGCACGGGAGCATGCAAATCAGAAGGATAACCGCAAACGGTCTTGAACCCCCTCCCCTAAAAATGGGAAATTGACAAGCGCGTTCTACTATTCGCAAAGTAACTACTCGCAAATGGCCTGGATCCGCCGCAGGAGATTCACGATATATAACACAAAGTCTGACGTATGGTTTTTTGGACGTTTGCGAGTAGGTACTTTACGAGTAGTGGACGCGCTCGGCATGTGAGTTTGGGGGGTGCCGGGGTGGCTCCGCCGGGGAAGGGGGGGGACTGCCCCCATTCAGGTTTGGAGGGAGTTCGGGGGGTGCCGTGATGGCTCTGCCGTGGAAGGGGGGGAAGGGGCTGCCCCCATTCAGGTTTGGAGGGAGGGAGGGGGGCTGAGTTTGGGGGGTGCCGGGAAAGGGGGGGGGTGGGGCTGAACCCATTCAGGTTTGGAGGGGGCGGGGGGGCTGCCACCATTCAGGTTTGGAGGGGGAGGGGGGGGGCCATTCAGGTTTGGAATGGGGGGGGCGCCATTCAGGTTTGGAGGGAGCAAGGGGAAGGCCAATCAGGTTTGGAGGGGGGTGGGAGGCTGCCGCCATTCAGGCTTGGGGGTGGGCGCCATTTAGATTTGGAAGGGGGGGGCCGGATCAGCCGAAGACAGAAAAGGAGAAGGAATCGCCGAATACATAATCCAAGACATGTGGGACAAACGAGCACACACAAGACACAATCCAGATGATAATAAAGACAACAATAAATTATCCCAGTGCGACCCTACCTAGGAGTTGGAGCCCCTAGGAAAGCAGCATTAGTAGTAACAGTAAAGCTAAGCTAAAGCTAAGCTAAAGCTAAGCTGAAGCTAAGCTAAAGCTAAGCTACAGCTAAGCTAAAGCTAAGCTAACACTAAGCTAAAGCTAAGCTGAAGCTAAGCTAAAGCTAAGCTAAATCTAAGCTAAAGCTAAACTAAAGCTAAGCTAAAGCTAAAGATAAGCTAAAGCTAAGCTAACACTAAGCTGAAGCTCAGCTAAAGCTAAGCTAAAGCTAAGCTAAAGCTAAGCTGAAGCTAAGCTAAAGCTAAGCTAAAGCTAAACTAAGGCTAAGCTAACACTAAGCTAAAGCTAAGCTGAAGCTAAGCTGAAGCTAAGCTAAAGCTAAGCTAAAGCTAAGCTAAAGCTAGGCTAAAGCTAAGCTAACACTAAGCTAAAGCTAAGCTAAAGCTAAGCTAAAGCTAAGCTGAAGCTAAGCTGAAGCTAAAGCTAAAGCTAAAGCTAAGATACAGCTAAGCTAACACTAAGCTAAAGCTAAGCTAACACTAAGCTGAAGCTAAGCTAAAGCTAAGCTAAAGTTAAGCTAAATCTGAGCTAACACTAAGCTGAAGCTAAGCTAAAGCTAAGCTAAAGCTAAGCTAAAGCTAAGATAAAGCTACGCTAACACTAAGCTAGAGCTAAGCTAAAGCTAAGCTGAAGCTAAGCTAAAGCTAAGCTAACGCTAAGCTAAAGCTAAGCTAACACTAAGCTGAAGCTAAGCTAAAGCTAAGCTAAGCTAAGCTAAAGCTAAGCTAAACTAAGCTAAAGCTAAGCTGAAGCTAAGCTAAAGCTAAAGCTAAAGCTAAGCTAAAGCTAAAGCTAAGGCTAAAGCTCCCAGGGGACTGGGGGAACCGCGGGGCGGGGACTGGGGGAACCGCCCGGGGCGGTTAGCATTGCCCGGCCCTTTAAGCAAAGAGAGAAAGAACCCTTCTAGGCAGAGCCTAGGTAGGGAACAAAACACAAAGAAGAGGGGTGAACGACGAAACGACGAGTCAAGAGGCACAACATGAGAACGAAAACCACAATGCGAACAGGAGACACGCGAGCAGGAGGGGAACAGAGAAAAGACGAAAAGCGCAAGAAGCAGAAACGCCACCGGATCGGCGGCACTGGCTGGAGGCCATTCCAATCAAAATGAAAGGGCCGAGCGGGCATTCACTGTCCCTGGGTGCGTGGCTGAAGTATGGCTCCGCGGTGCAGACCGTTGTTGCGTTGTTGTTAAACTCGCTCTTGAAGAATAACTATAGTGAAGTGTTTGTTGTTTCCATTTTTCAATTGAAGTGCGCCCCTCGGGGCTCGCACCCTGCCCCCGCCTACAACAACAACGGCTCCCGCTTGATACTTCCCCACAGTGCATTCCAAAATCGCACTCTCGCGCGGGACCCCCTCACAAATTCTGCTGAAATCGCGCTCTCACGTCGGCCTTCCTCGCAATTTAGTCAGACGCCGCGCCCTCGACACTCAGGAATCACGCTCTCGCGTGTGTTTCTCGCGAGTCACTTGGAAATCGTGCTATCGCTCGAGACTTCCTCACGATTCATGCAAGACTCACTCTTCTGCAACACGCCTGCTCGACCTGGCCGCCTGGGCCCGCCTTCCCGACCCGCCCCGCAGGGTCTGCCCGCCTGGTTCTGCCACGTGCTTGCTGCTCCTAGCCCGCCTCCTGCAAATTTCTCTCGTGCTCCATCCGTCTCCTTCACCGTTCCATCCGGCCTATCTTCCCCTGTTTTAGGGGCTGCGCGAAATGCACTTGACAGGCAAGGAAGATATACCCTCAAGGGGGGTACGATCGAATCCGAAGAGGGCGGGTACCGAGGGCTTCGGATATCTACGTGTTGAGTGGCACGCGAGCAGGTAGGAGCGCAGAGTCTTGAAAGTCTGGTTGCTGTTGAACTCTCATAATGGAAAGATGGTTCCTGCTGATCCCACCATCGGTGCACAGTGAGTTTTTCAATTGAAGTGCCCCCTCGGGGCTCGCACCCTCTGTTCTATCAGGGAAACTCTTTATGCTCAAACTGTGCCCTTGGCCCCCCCGCTACTACAACAACGTCTCCCGCCAATGCATTGCAACATCGTAATCTCGCGCGGGACTTCTTCACAATTGATGCAGGAATCGCGCTCTCGCGTCGGACTTCTTCGCAAATTATTCAGACGCCGCGCCCTCGACACTCAAGAATCACGCTCTCGCTTTGTTTTTGTTTCGCGATGTATTTGGGAATCGCGCTATCGCTCGAAACTTCCTCGCGACTCATGCGCGACTCACGCTTCTGGAGCCCGCTTGCTCGACCTGGCCGCCTGGGCCCGTCTTCCCGACCCGCCCGCTATGGTCTGCCGCCCGATCTGCCCGTCTGGTTCTGTCACGTGCTTGCTGCTCCTAGCCGGCCCTCCTGCAAATTTCATTCGTGCTCCATGCGTCTCCTTCCCCCTTCCATCCGTCCTCTCTTTCCCTGGTTTAGGGGCTCTGCAACATGCACTTGACAGGTAAGGAAGATTGCCCTCAACGGGGGTACGATCGAAGCCGGAGAGGGCGGGTACCCAGGGTTCGGGATATACATGTTGAGTGTCACTCGAGCGGATAGGGCAGAGGAGGCTTAAAGTGACTGTTGTTGTCGGTGTTGAATTTTCACTTCTAAAGGATAAGTGTTGTTGATACCCCCTCTGGTACCCATTGCGTTTTTCAATTGAAGCCTCAACCCTCTAATCCCTGCACTTCGCCTCTCTCTTTCCGCTGCGCTGCAATCGGAGTGTGATATGTATGTATATGCTGTGCAAATATGAGGAGCCAGCCTCCACAAAAGGGGGCAGGGCGGGCTGACAGGAGTCCGAACCTCTCCTGGGGCTCCAGGGGCACTGCAGAGACTGCATCCACAAGGCTGGGGCTTGCCACGGGGGAGAGAAAGGACTGCGCGAAATACGGGTGATCGGCTTTACTAACCAAAACCTCAATCCTCTAATACCTGCGCTTCGCCTCTCTCTTTCCGCTGCGCTGCAATCGGAATGTAAAATGTATGTATCTGTTGTGCAAATATGAGAGCCAGCCTACACAAAGAGGGCAGGGCGGGCCGACAGGCGAGTCCAAACCTCTCTAGCCTGGGGCCACATCCAGGAAACCTGAGACGCCATCTGGAGGAGACCTGCCCTGGTGGATTCTGGAAGTTCAGTCATGTAAGTGGTCGATGCGAGCTCCTGACGGTAAATGAGCATGACTTTCTGAGACAACCAAAGGCCCCGACTCTGCACGAGCTGGGGATCAGCGAGCTCGAGGACGAGCTGGGTCGCGCCACCGGCGCGAAGAGACAAGCCGCTCCGAGCCCACAGGGGGCCGCATACTGTCACCTAGCGCCCGTCGACGCCCGATGGCCTCCAAGTGCCGAGAGCCCAACGCCGCGACAACCCCGCGAGAATAGGTAGCTGTGCACTTAGTAGCTGAACCCTCAATTACTGCATGTATATGAGCGCGATGACGCCGCGCTTTAAGACAGCGGGTCGCCGCGTCAGCAAACCCGGGGAGGCCTACAGCCAGCCAGCGGAACTCCTTTCGATAAACGACGTCGCCATCGAGCGCGGCGCCACGGTAAGCACACAAGGCAAACCAGGTCTCGACAGCACCGAGGAGCAAGAGACGGGGCCACTCCTGCAGCCACGCCATCTTCGACAGGCGGGGCTGTTCAAGCCCACCAGGCGCTCCAACGCGTGGGCCAACAAGCATGTGCAGTAGACAGTGGAAGGCAAGAAGGCTGCCCGGCCGCGTCTTCGGCTCGGTGCGATTGAAGCCCGTCGGCTGGCGATAGGAGCGGACAGCAGGATGACCGGCAGGGGGGAGCGTAGCACGGGGAGGCTTCGCCGCAAAGGTGAGGATGCGGCCCTCATACAGCATCCACGCTGCCGGCTGCAGCAAGCGGCACGAAGACAGAGCATAATGTCTAGTGTCTAGTGTACGAGATGTCAACCACAGGGCCAACCAGGACGCCGCGGGATGCGAGGTGGCGGCTTAGAACACCAGGAAAAAACCATGGCAATTCCCCGACTGACGTAGGACGGGACGTCCGACTCGACGCACCGCGCGCTCTCCATAGAGGGAGGCAGCGCGCCAGCACCAAGCAGACCTCCTCGAGTCCGGCTGTCAAGGCGCGAGTAGCCCCCCCCCCCCCGACGCTCACCACAGCGCCAGAAAGCCGACGATAACGCAGGCGCAACGCCCAGCGTATAGATAGCTCCGAAGGACGGGGAGGCGTCAAGGGCATAGATGACGTCACTGAAGGGAACGGCGAGGTCTGTCTCCGCGGCGACCGACAGGAGAGACGCCAGGGCCTGTTCATCCTTGACACAGCGGGACATGGGGTGGTCAACGTCGCGGTCCTGGGTGACAATGCCGCACGCGTGGTTGAGGTAGACGAACAGCGGGCGGCGGCCAACAAAAACTGTTCTCGAAGAGCCTGCCAACGTACCTATCAAAACCACAGGAGCGCGAGGAAGTCGAGGAGCACGAAGGCAGAGTTCAGAGAGGGGAAGCCTATGAAAGACAGGCGCACCCAAAGGGACGTACCCACGATCCACCATCTTTGCCGACGAGTCTACCTCGGCCCCGACAACCACGAAACGATCGGCGCCTCGGACCTCCTTGGAAGGGCCCCCCACCAGCGAGGACTCGGCATAAGCCGGGCGCCCTGCTCGGTCGAAGAGCTCCAGATCGAGACGACTCCCCAGGAGGGTAAGCATGGCGCCCAATAGCAATGCAACCATCAATACAGAGTGTTAAGGCCCAGTAAAGCGACTGGCGCGCTGACCCCCCCCCCCTTCGCGACAAGAGGTGCGTCGCGCATTCGTTTCCCGTGCGCCGCCCGTGCGTCGGCCGCCGAGAAGGCCAGCCGTCCTCTCGAACGTGCGCGTCGCTCTCGCAAGGGGGCAATTTGGTGAGTGCGTCGCCAGCGCGGCGGACACCCGCGGGGCGGATGGCACGCGCGTCGCCCGCTCCACGGCCGCCGAAAAGGCCGGTCGCCTTCGGGAAAAAGAAAATCGCCCAACACTACAAATGCAGCGATGGGCTACCTCGGCAGATCAGCGAATCCCTCCAACACTACAAATGCAGCGATGCTGCTGAAGGCGCCCCGGCGCTAGGCCAGCAGGTCCCCGCAGCCGCCGCCACAGCCTCCGCGACCGCCGCCAGCGCCAAAACTACCACCGCCACGATCACCACAAACGGATGCGACCGCAACCACATCCACCGCGACGATTACGACCAACACCATTTACCGCCATCACCACCACCACGACCACCACGCTTCTCGCGACCACCACAACGACCGACACCAGCACGATCACCGACGTGACCACCACCAGCCCGCCCACCACCAGCGGCGCGACCACCGCCAGCGCGACCAAGGCGACGAACGCGACCACGACCATGATCACCAACATGACCATTACATAAGCAACCGCCCGCTCCGTCCTCCCCCTCCCCCCCCCCATTCCCCTGCCGGGCCGCCCTTGCCGCCGCGCCCGCCTCGCGCCCCTGCCCCCCCCTTTTCTCCTCGCAATCTTCCTCTTTCACCGCCAGCGGCGGGGCCGTTCGCGGAAGGCGGGGGCGCCGCTCGCGGCGACGCGCCGCGGCCGTGGAAGGGGGGCCGAAGGAGAAAAAGAACATGAAGAGGGGCACGGGGTGGCAAGGGGGGGGGGAAAAAGGAGAGAGGAAGGGGGAGGGGCAGACAGAGGGAGGCCGGTAGAAAGGGGGAGGAGAAGGGGAGGAGAGAGGGAGACGAGGCAGGAGGGAGGACGAAGGAGGAGGAACGACGAAAGAGAAGGGACGACGAGGAAGGAAAAGGAAAGGAACAGGGGCAAGCACCGCGCTTCCTGGCGCAACGGAGGACGCAGCCGCCGCCACTCGTGAACAGCGCAAGCACGGCGGGCCGACGGCCGTTGCGCATTGCTGTTCGGAGAAATGCTAGGGGCGGGCAAAGTCGCGACTGCGTCGCGCATGCGTCGCGCGTGCGTCGCGCGTGCGTCGCGCTTGCTTCGTCGCGCGCGTGGAGCGTGCGTCGAGCGTGCGTCGCGCGGGTCGCTCGTGCGTCGCGCGCCGGCAGGGGTGCGTCGCGCGCGGGTCGGGGTGCGTCGCGCGCGCGTCGCGCGTGCGTCGCGCGTGCGTCGCGCGAGCGTCGCTCGGGCCGTTCGCGCGTCGCGCGCAGGTCGCGCGCGAATCGCTCGAAGGGCGCCGTGGACTTCTGACGGCATGTGAACTGCACGGCCCGCTGGCGAAACAATCAAGGGACGCGCGCGGCAATCGTAGAAATAGCGAGACACGCACGTGAGAACTACGAACGCGAGGAGACCAATAGACGACACGGAGACGCAGCGCGCACGGACTAATCCATGTCAAGCGCACGCCCCGTTAGAATTTGAACATCGGTTCGTCGCTGCAGCAACGCGGCGACGTCTCGCTCGCCGATGCATTGGGGGGAAAAAGAGAATGGAAGCGAGGCGAGGGAAGGGCGGGCGGAAAAAGGGAACGGACGGGCGAGGAGGGGGCGCGCGGGGGCGGCGCAGCGGCGGCGGGAGCGATGGAAGGCAATCGAAGGGAGGCGGCGGGAGCGAGGAGGGCGAGAAGGAAGTTCCAGGAGGGTGGAAGGACAACGGGGGGCGAGTAGGGAGGGGGACAGGGCGGCAACCTGACACAAAATGACTGAATACAAATTTCGCAAACGGGACAAAACGCGCAGCGCGTTGGACGAGGGGAAGAGAAGGGCGAGAGGGGGGACAGGAGGATTGGCGCGAAACGACACGGGGGTGCGGGGCGCGATGCGACGGGGCGAAGTGGCGCCGCGTCGCGCGACGCGACGTCACCCCCACCGTGGCGCGACACGCACAGCCCCCAATCAACGCGAGGCGTCTTCGTACTCAACAACGGTTGGCGCCCCCGAAAATGCGCACCATCAAATCCTCTTGCGCCGAATTGGAAACAGAACGCGTTGGTGGACCGTCGAACTAAGAATGCGCCACGACCGTCAAAATGGCTGCTGGTGCACCAGCGTCGGAAACCGATAGATCGCCAGAGAAATTCCGAAGTCGCGCCATATGTCGCCCACGCACTCTGGGAGGCCGGGATTCGGGACAGAGACGCAAACCAGGGCCGGCGCACGGGCGACGCTCGGGCGACGCACTGAACGAAACTTAAAGGAGGGGGGGGTGGTCGCTTGACTGGGCCTGAAAAATACAGAGGCTCTCGACCACGCCACCGCGAGGGAAGGGGGCCCTGCCGTCGACGATGTTCTCGGACGCAAGCAGGCCGTGGCCGCGGACGAGGTTGGGGTGGCCACTCTGGGTGACATCTACAGCAGTGTGATTCCCCATCGGGTTGGACGCAAGGGTACCGTGCAGGGCTCTGGCCGCTCCGCGCGGAGGACCGTCGTCACCCAGAGGGAAATCGGTCACCGCGAAGATCGCGCCGACCTGGAGGGCCTGGACGGCGACGGTCAGCTGCAGGAAGGAGGTGCCCAGGATCGACGCCAAGGGATCTACGCAGCAGGTCCACCGACAAGGCGGGCCCCGGGACGTTCGTGGCGGCGCGCTCGGCCGCGACGAGCTCCTGGTAGAACGTAGCGCGACTGTCGGACGAGGGCCCGCGGAGACATTCAGCACCACGAGCAACGCTATACTCACAGAGACGGGCTCCAGCTGCTAGATGGGAAGCGGGCCCCCCCGCAGTCTTCGCCTCCTGGCCGCTGGGGCCCCTGCGATCGATGATCAACCTGTCGCGCGAGGCGTTCTTCCACGCGTTGAATGGATCGCACTGTTCATGTGGCGCCACAGGGCCCTCTGCGAACTCGAGGAGGCCCCGTCCAGCTTCTGGAAGAAGGCCACCTGCTGGGCCCTGGGGAGCTCGCTGGCACCCCCCCACTGATACGACGCCGGGCCCACCCGGCAGGCACGAAGCACCCCCGGCTCGTCGATGGCCAGGGTCAGCGGAGGCACCAAGAAGCCCCCAATGGGCCAGCGCGCGAGCGGGGCCTTCAGAACCAGACGCCCAGGACAAAGAGGGGCGAATACTCCAGGGACAGGCCGTGCGCGTCGGGGACATCGAAGCCCACAAGTGTCCACTGCTCTGAGGTGATCCGAGCGCGCGCGCATAGCTGTCGTAGACATCTCACTGTCCCATACCTGAAACATCAGCCAACGAAGCAGAGAGACTTAAAGCTCTGAGTACTCGCCAATAGCATCGCTAAACATCTGAGAAGTATAATCGGCTTTGCGACCAAAGAAGAGTGGGTAAAGGGCAAACTCCGTCACGACACCGGCTCCAACATATCGAGCGTAACCGATCCCGGCAATTTTTCTGCGCCTGGGACGCTGGCAATACAAGAAAGAATAGATCAAGGGGTCGAGATGGCCGCCCCTCATACACGTAGTTCAACGCACGCGCGGGGACAAGGAGCAGCTGTTCAACCTTCGCGTCGAGGTCGACGCTGCCGCCCTCCCTGCGAGCCGCCCCTTGCAGCCCATCAACAGGAGGAAGCGGGGGTGGAAAGACTGGGGCGGTGCGCGGTGCCCCAGCAGGCTGCCGCCCCTGGAGCTGCGCTACAGCACAGACGGCGGCCCCGATGGGGTACTTCCTTAGCTCTGGGGGGCGCCGGCCGCTGGCGGCAGCGCCTTCGGCCTCCGGCGCAGCCGCGGCTTGGGGGCGGCCTCCGCGGCCCCGCCGCCGGGGCCGATCACGCCTGCGCCTGCGGGCTGCTGCCCCTCGAGAGCCCCGCGGGCCCCGGGAACAGGCGCGCGCCCCTGCGGCCTCTGGAGCCCGCTCCGCCGCGTCTCCAGCAGGTCCAGCTCCCGCAAGGATGCGAGGTTCACCGTGATCCAGCGCGGTTTGGCCAGCCCGCCCGCTGCGGACTGCCCGCCCCTGGCGAAGAGCGAGGCGGGGGGGTCGCGCTCGAACTGGTACAGCCACATCATGTCGAGTCGGCCGCCGTCGATCCTGGCCTGGTCGAGTCCTACCATCAGGAGCGCGGCGGAGTTGGCGGCCTCGGCGATCTGGTTCATCCACGGGCGGTCGCCGATGTCCGCGACCTGCCAGGCGACCAGGGCAAGGTCCCGCACCGTGCTGGGGCTCCAAGGGATGAGCTCGGACCAGCCCCCCGTCCGCTCGAGCCAGAGCCGTGGGTCGGGCGGCTCGAGCGTCGCTCCGCGCGGCACTCAGGAGGTGCGGCCCTGGGCGGCCATGGGCTCCATCACGGACCTGGAGGACCTCCTTGCGGCGATCGGCGCCTCACGGTGGGCCGCGCCTCGCGCGCCAGCGCCGATGTTGCCCCCGCCGGGGCCCATGAGGTCGTCGCCGCCGCCTCCGCCGCCCTCGTCGCCACGCTGGCTGGAGACCCTGGCCGCGCCCATCAGAGCAGCTGGGAAGCGCCCCATGTCGGCGCGACCTCCTCCTCCTCGCCCTCGAAGCCAAGGTCGCCCCCGCTCCTGGGGAAAGGGCCTGAGGGCGCAGCGGCGCGCCGACCGCGCAGCTCGGGGCCAGGAGGAGCGCCGTGGCGGCCCAGGACCGCTTGCCACGCGGCTTGGGGATCGCCCGGCGTCTCGGGCCTCCCGCGGGCCAAAGGCTGGCGAGGCGGCGGCGGCCGAGCCGGCGGGGCGCCGTTGCCGGGCGCCACGGCCGAGGCGGGCCCCGCCGCCGCGCGAGGGGCGAAGGCGATCTGCCCAGCGGCCGCAGCCTCCCCCGCCAGCAGCGGGGCGGCGGACGGCCTCCCCGCGCCGACTGCCGGTGGCGGGCCACGGCAGGGGCGCCCACCTTCGTCAACCGCCGCACCGCGCCCGCCCTCCTGGGCAGGGGCGCGGCTGGCGGCGCCTCGAGGGCGGCGGCGCGCGCTGCGGGCGCCGGGGGGGGGCTCCTCGTCCTCGGCCGAGCCCGTGCCGACAGCCAGCAGCGAGTCGGGGCGGCCGAGCACCGCCCCCGCCTCAGGTTCGTCCTCCACGGCCGTGAGGAACTCCGACAGAGCCTCTTCGCCGAACTGCTCGCGGAAAGCGCGGGCCGACTCGTCCAGCAGCGAACGCCCGTGCGGCCAGTGCCGCCCTCGGGACGTGAAGTGGCGCAGCTCTCGGTCGGAGTGCAGCCCGCCCTCGAAGTGCGCCGTCTCGGGTACGAGCTCGATCTCGACGTCGTAGATCACATCGATGAAGAGCACCTCGAACAGCATCGAGGTGAGAGGCTTGGCGGCGTTGGCCAACGCTGCGGCCCTGACCCTTGGTGCTGACGTGCGGGCCCAGCACGTGCTCCACTTCCGACTGACTGGCCGCGAGCTCGTCGTCGCGGATGCCAGCCGAGGGAACCACCAACATGAAGCCCCCGGGACTGCGTCGGACCGCCGCGGCCGCCACCGCGACCCTTCCAGGGGCCCCATCTTCGTTGCGTAGCTGTATGAGCCGAGCGTATCCGTCGGGATCGTCGCGCACGAAAGTTACTTCGTCAAAGGTCGGAGACTCCATCAAAGTTGCTAGCCCGCCAGACGCTTCCGACTAACCTGCGGGCTCGGCACCGCGGGCTCTCCAGCCCAGCCAGCGCAGCGGGCGGCCGCGCCACCACCAGGCAAGGCCAGCGGCCACCGTGGAGCAGCCCAGGCAGCTGAGCGCGCAGAGGCCGCCCAGCAGGGAGGCCAGCACCAGCCCCCACAGCGGCCGGCCCTCCGGGGTGCCGGCGCAGGCGAAGGCTGGCGGGGGCGCCGGCAGCGGCGCGGGCGCGCCCGAGGGGCTGCGCAGCCCCGCCAGCCAGAAGCCCCCCGCGAGCGCCAGCGGGAGCCGGGCTGCAGGGCCGACCGCGCCCAGCCCCAAGGCGGCGGCCGGCAGCAGCGCGTCGACCATGCGCGCGCCGCGCGAGCCCACTCCCCTGAGAGAAAGGACTGCGGGAGATACGGGCGATCGGCTTTACTAACCGAAATGGTTCTCCCGGGGCTCGGACCCTGTTTTTTCATTGAGAAGCGAGGGGTCCCCAAACTGCGCCCCTGTCCCCCCGGCTACTACAACAACAACAACAACGGCTCCCGCCTGATACCTCCTCACAATCTACTACCAAATCTCGCTCTCGCGCGGGATTCCCTCATAAATTATGCTGGAATCGCGCTCTCGCGTTGGACTTCCCCGCAACTCATTCAAACGCCGCGCCCTCGACACTCAGGAATCACGCTCTCGCTGTGGATTTCCTCACGATGTATCTGGGAATCGCGCTATCGCTCGAGACTTTCTCACGATTCATGCAGGACGCATGCTTCAGCAACCCGCCTGCCACTTGTCCCGTCCTTCCGTCCGTCCTCTCTCCCCCTGCCTTTGGTGCTGCGCGAACTCCTCACTGCAAGTAAAAATTACCCTGTGACGTACCCAGCCCAGTTACATCATGGGAAACGAGGAGTTGGCCGAAACTTGCATGGACAATCAAATTGCAGGATCCGTTGTTTGATATGTAAGCTACTTGGGGCACGCGCCTATGGCATGATGCGCAGGAGAACCATACAAGAACGAGGGGCGACAACTACAGGCTCGAAGAGGACATGGGGAGTCGGGAACGAAGAGCAGGAGAAAAACGTGCGGGAAGCCCACTGTGCTGTGCCCCTCAGCAGCCCTCGAAAGTGGCGACAGTTTCACAGATCGCAGCCCCCCAGGGATGGCGAGGTCTAAACTGAGACTGCGGTGAGTACCCACTGTGCTGTGCCCCTCAGCAGCCCTCGAAAGTGGCGGCAGTTTCACAGATCGCAGCCCCCCAGGGATGGCGAGGTCTAATCTGAGTCTGCGGTGAGTGCCCACTGTGTTGTGCCCCTCAGCAGCCCTCGAAAGTGGCGACAGTTTCACAGATCGCAGCCCCCCAGGGATGGCGAGGTCTAAACTGAGACTGCGGTGAGTACCCACTGTGATGTGCCCCTCAGCAGCCCTCGAAAGTGGCGACAGTTTCGCAGATCGCAGCCCCCCAGGGATGGCAAGGTCTAATCTGAATCTGCGGTGAGCACCCACTGTGCTGTGCCCCTCAGCAGCCCTCGAAAGTGGCGACAGTTTCACAGATCGCAGCCCCCCAGGGATGGCGAGGTCCAATTTGAGTCTGCGGTGAGTACCCACTGTGCTGTGCCCCTCAGCAGCCCTCGAAAGTGGCGGCAGCTTCACAGATCGCAGCCCCCCATGGATGGCGAGGTCTAATTTGAATCTGCGGTGAGTACCCACTGCGCTGTGCCCCATCAGCAGCCCTCGAAAGTGGCGACAGTTTTCGCAGATCGCAGCCCCCCAGAGATGGCAAGGTCCCGCACATGTCCGCGCGGCGCCTCACTCTGCAGGACCCACCAGCAGCCCTCGAAAGTGGCGACAGTCTCGCAGATCGCAGCCCCCCAGGGACGGCGAGGTCCCGCTCAGGTCCGCGCGGTGCTTCACTCTGCAGGACCCACTAGCAGCCCTCGAAAGTGGCGACAGCCTCGCAGATCGCAGCCTCCCAGGGACGGCGAGGTCCCGCTCAGGTCCGCGCGGTGCCTCACTCTGCAGGACCCACCAGCAGTCCTCGAAAGTGGCAGCAGTCTCGCACATCGCAGCCCCCCAGGGACGGCGAGGTCCCGCTCAGGTCCGCGCGGTGCCTCACCCAGCAGGACCCACCAGCAGCCCTCGAAAGTTGCGAAAAGCTCGCAGGTCGCAGCCCCCCAGGGACGGCGAGGTCCCGCTCAGGTCCGCGCGGTGCCTCACCCCGCAGGGCCCACCAGCAGCCCTCGAAAGTGGCAACAGTTTCGCAGATCGCACCCCCCCAAGGACGGCAAGGTCCCGCTCAGGTCTGCGCGGCGCCTCACTCCGCAGGACCAGCCAGCAGCCCTCGAACATGGCATAGTTTCGCAGATCGCAGCCCCCCAGGGGCCGCGAGGTCTCGTTTGGGTCCGCGGTGGGTACCTTCTCTGCTTGCCCCCCCAGCAGCCCTCGAAAGTGGCGACAGTTTCACAAGTCGCAGCTCCCCAAGGACGGCGAGGTTCCGTTTGGGTCCGCGGTGAGTGCCCTACCCGCTGGCCCCCCCAGCAGCCCATCGAAAGTGGCGACAGTTTCGCAGGCCGCAGCCCCCCAGGGACGGCGAGGTCACGTTTGGATCCGCGGTGCGCACCCTCTCTGCTGCCCCCCCCTCCCAGCAGCCCTCGAAAGTGGCGACCGTTTCACAGGTCGCAGCCCCCCGGCGACGGCGAGGTCCTGTTTGGGCCCGCGGCGAGTACCCTCTCTGCTGGCCTCCCCAGCAGCCCTCGAAAATGGCGACTGTTTCGCAGATCGCGGCCCCCCCAGGGACGGCGAGGTACCGTTTGGATCCGCGGTGAGCACCCTCTCTGCTGGCCTCCCCAGCAGCCCTCGAAAGTGGCGACATTTTCGCAGATCGCCGCCCCCAGGGATGGCGAGGTCACGTGTGGATCCGCGGTGGGTGCCCTCTCCGTTGGCCTCCCCGGCAGCCCCCGAAAGTGGCGACAGTTTAGCAGGTCGCAGCCCCCCAGGGACGGCGAGGTCCTGTTTGGCTCCGCGGTGCGTACCCTCTCTGCTGGCCTCCCCAGCAGCCCTCGAAAGTGGCGACAGTTTCGCAGATCGCGGCCCCCCAGGGACGGCGAGGTCCACGCGGTGAGTGCCCTCTCTGCTGGCCTCCCCAGCAGCCCTCGAAAGTGGCGACAGTTTCTCTGATCGCGGCCCCCCAGGGACGGCGAGGTCCCGTTTGGATCCGCGGTGGGTACCCTCTCTGCTGGCCTCCCCAGCAGCCCTCGAACATGGCGACAGTTTCTCAGATCGCGCCCCCCCAGGGACTGCGAGGTCCCGTTTGGATCCGCGGTGAGTGCCCTCTCTGCTGGCCTCCCCAGCAGCCCTCGAAAGTGGCGACAGTTTCGCAAGTCGCAGCCCCCCAGGGACGGCGAGGTCCCGTTTGGATCCGCGGTGAGTGCCCTCTCTGCTGGCCCCCCCCCCAGCAGCCCTCGAAAGCGGCGACAATTTCGCAGATCGCGGCCCCCCAGGGACGGCGAGGTCCTGTTTGGATCCGCGGTGAGTGCCCTCTCTGCTGGCCTCCCCAGCAGCCCTCGAAAGTGGCGACAGTTTCGCAGATCGCAACCCCCCAGGGATGGCGGGGTCAAAGGCAGGAGAAGGTTCGCGCGAGCAGTGCTCTATTCAAAACGAGAACCCAACGCAGGAGGGCTGGGAAACAGATTCTCCTAAGGGGGTACGATCGAAGACGAAGACGGCGGGTGCTCGCGTGCAATCCAATATGGCCCCAAGATGGCCCCCGAGGCTGCCAAGAATGCCCCAAGAGGCCCCCAAGGTGCCCCCACTATGCCTCCAAGATGCTCCTAAGAAAGTCCCCAGAGGCCCCTAAGAGGCCCGAATAGGCCCCCGCCCGAAGCATCCAAGACACTTCAAGAGGCCCCCCTGGACCACCGCGAAGCCTTCAAGAGGCCCCAAGAGGCCCACAAGAAACTTCCAAGAGAGATGCGAAGACACACGAGAGGTATCCGAGAGGCCTCTGGCCTTTCTGCTCGCCGCCCTCGTCATTATATTCCTCATCCGTCTTATCCTCCTCCTCCCTCCCCCCTCATCCCTCCTCCGTCCTCCCCCCTCTCCCTCCTCCTCCCCCTCCTCCTCTGGTTCCTCCTCCACCCTCCCCCTCTTGGGGCATGGCGACTCCCTGGCCTTTATTCCACTGCGTGCTCCCCCTCATGCCTGAGCAGGGCAACTCACATGGGCATTGTTTCTGGATGGGCTGGTGGGGTTACTTTTTTTGATCTGCGGCTCCAAGGACGATTCCAGAGAGCGGGTCGTAACGAGCATGGGCAGCACGCAAGATAATTGCCAGCGGGCCAAAGCCAACGCCAGAGTGCACCTGTGCCAGAGAATGCGTAGCAAGCTTGGGGGGCTAAGCGAGATAATTGCCAGCGGGCCAAAAGCCAACGCTGAAATGCACGTGCGAGGGGAGAACCCCAAAGCGCCGGGGCACAAGCGAGAGGCCAGGCGAGATAATTACCAGCGGGCCAAAAGCCAACGCCGGGATGCACATGCAAGGGGGGAAAGCCTGAGAGGCCCGGCAAAGCCGGACGACGAGCAGGTAGAACCAGCGGGCCAAAAGCCGACGCCAGAGCGAACCTGCGGTGGGAAGAGAACCGCGTGCCGACGACCCGGCACACGGTGAAAACGATGCTGAACCAGGAGCCCTCACTCACGGAGCAGCTAAGGCTCATGGACAGCTGCGCGCAACCAGTAGGTTGAAGCACCGCTAAACACGGTCGTCAGACGACGTGCGTCGAGGGGGGCGTGGTCCTTCCCGCCGACAGGACCAAGTTGTGGTGAGCCCAGGCGGGCGAAGACCACCTCCGAGAACGATGCACGCGATGAAGCCGTCGTAAGCGCCTGCCGATGGGGAATGCCACAGAGCAGAGTCGACGTGGAAAAAAGAGGGGGGAATGTGGAACGATGGGGCGGGCCTTAGGCCGGCGTTCCCATCTGCTCGAATGCCCGGGTGGGCGAGGCGGGCCCATGCTCGAGAGAACCAAGCCAAATCCCATCGTGCGCGTGGATTATTTCAGCCGACGCCGCACGGGCTAAGTCCACGGTGCACCGTGGAAAGCAAGCCGCAACCACGCCATAGTGGTGTCCCACATCCAGAGGGGGGAGTGCAGGGAGAGCCATGACTTGTCACTGCTGGTGGGGTTACGCGAAGCGTCTAGAACCATGTCTAACCAGCACTTCTTCAACTCGGCAAGAAGTACAGATCCCGAAGAGCACTGCTCTGGTTCGACCAGACTCTGTGGGTCGCGACCCCTGTGCAGCCAGGGAGAAGCTCAGAGCGACTGTGCACTGTGGGCCTGGCCACAAGTGCACTTGAAGGCCACGGTGCGCGAACCATCGTGCCCCCCGTGGAAGCCAGAGGCGAACTTTCCAGATGAAGGTTTTCCCAGAAAGACGGCCCAAGAGGCCTCCAAGAGGACCCCGAAACGGCTCAAGAGGGCCAGAGGCACCCAAAACGGCCCAAGAGGGCTCCAAAGACGGGCCCCAAAGGAACCAAATCGGGGAACACGAACCGAAAATCCGACGCTCCAAGAGGCCCCCAGGAGGCCCCAACAGGCGCCCAGGAGGCCCCAAGAGGCCCCCAAGAGGCCCCCAAGAGGCTCCAAGAGGCTCCCAAGAGGCCCAACAGAGGCCCCAAGAGTCCCCCAGACGGCCCCCAAGAGGCGTCCAAACTGCCTCCAAGAGGCCCCCGAGAAAGTCTGCGCGAGATCCCAACGAACATCCAATTGGCTTAATACCCACAAACCAAGCACGGTGGCAGGATGGGTCGAAGGCCACTAGATAGCTATGCCGGCGTGCAAGCGATTGCGTCACACCGTGACCACTCGTCGATTATCTGTGCAGAGGTCTCCCCTAGAACAAAAGAAAACTGCATCAGCATAAGCTTTCGGAAGTCCACGCGGATTTCTTGGATCGGCGCTGGGTCCCGCTGGCGACCCTGCGGCGCCGAACCTGACGCGCTCCGCGCGCTAGCGATGGCGGGCTGGCGCCTATCCAACAAATCCATGCGGATCTCGTCCATCGGTACATCAGAAATGCGACTACGCGAAGAGCTGTTGACGAGCTCAGGTCCTCTTTCTTCCTCTCCCACTCTTTCACCTGAGGGGGCATATTCACAACGCGCTCTATCCTCCCTCATCCTACGGGGACGGGGGTGACGGAGAAAGGGGAGGCGAAGAACGCGATGGAACGAAGAGGGGGGGAGAGGGAGTCGGAAGAGCAGGCGCGGGCTGCTGAGGCCTCATAGAGGAGATCGAGGAGGAGAGTGAGTAGCAACAGAAGCCGGAAAATGAAAGAGGGAGGGAGCAGAGAGAGAGAGAGAAAAACAAAAAAGAGATAGAGAGAGAGAGAGAGCAAGAGAAAGAGAGAGAGAGAGAGGAGAGAGAGAGAGAGAGAAATAAAACAAAGCGCGAGGAAGGAACACTGAGAGACGAGAAGACGGCGATCGACAAACAGGGAGACAACGATACCGAGAGGGATAAATGGCAGCGAGGGGAAGGTCAGGAGATAGGCGTTAAGGCGTTAAGAGAACGAATGTGGGAGCGAGAGAAGATAATGCGGGGGAGCAATCAGGAGTGGGAGATGCCACAGGAATCGGACAGGGGGGAGGAGCAGGAGAGAGTTAGGTACACGATCGAGTATCAGGACTGACTGGGCCAAGGGGCTGAATTGGGCGAGCGGGCACCTTCTCCTGGTACATCGCCAACTGCGACTCCAGCTTCTCGAGAGTGGGTGGGATGTCGTCGAGGGTTATGGGCGCATCAAGCTTCAGCTGCGCAAAAAGCTGGAAGGTCTCTGCGCTGTGCTTGATCGTCTTTGATTTTGTCTTGGATGCTTTGTTTTTCTTGCCCTTTATGGGCCCAACGTCGTCCTTTTCTTTCTTGGCGAGAACGACGAAACCCTCCATCTTCTCTTTCATCGCCTCTTCTTTCCTTTTGTCTTCCTCCTCCTTCTCCTTCGCCTCCTCTTGCTGGCACGCCGGAAGCGGGCATGTACGGAGAGCATGGAAGACGATGCCCAGCAGCAAATGCTGTCCGAAACTGGCAGTGGCCGCATGTGGCCGCTGTTGCCGCCGTTGCCTCGAGTGGACAATGCCCACGGCGACACCGACAGCGAGCTCGGAATGGGCAGGAACCGCTGTCGGTCTTCGTACGACGAGAACAATATTGGCTGAGGGCACGTTCCAGGAATCCCGAAGTGTCTATAGCGGCTTCTTGTCTCTGGAGCAGTGGAGCCCGCGCAGGACAACATGAAGAACTCGGAACCATACAGTGGGGGCCCGACCACAAGGAACCTTCCACAAGAAACCCAACCCTGAGACCCCAGGACGTCCATGGATTTTCGGCGTGAAACGTCGCGCTTTCCCCGGCAATACCATCGAAACCCAAGACACCCGGGGGACCCTGGAGGCAAGCAGGGTGCTTCTTGGCAGGGGTCTCCACTGTAGTCTTGGATCGTATCAATTTCTTGACTTCTTGCTCCTCCGGCTTCGTCCCCCCTCTTCCCGCACCCGCTCCGATGGTGCCGCAGCCACCTGGGTGGCGCGCTCTGCGGCTGCAGGCCCGGGGAAGATGCCCCGACAAGGGGCTAGGGGGGCCAAGAAGGCCAGCGGGCTCCCGAGAGGCCCCCCCCCCAGAGCAGAGGACGAGACACCCGCTCAGACATAAAGTTTCGGATCTCCGCGGAGCTTTCTTGGATCGTCGCTGGACACCCCCCCCCCTCCCTGGCGCGTGGAGCGCACCAAGGGCGGCGACGGAGGCACCGCCAGGGGGGGTTGAGCGCCGATCCAAGAAATCCGCGCGGATCTCCGAAAGTTTGTCTGCGCCTCTGGTTAGAATGAGAATGATGTGATGATGCGTTTGGCTCAGAACTCATTCCTGCAAGTCTGGGATATTTGAGGCTCTCGTTTCTGGCGCCCGCGTGGAACAACAGGACACATTCGGCATCGTGAAAAATCGAAACGCATCGTTATCGTCCTCAGCCAAATCATAATTATCAGCATCATGCTCATAATCATCATCATCATCATCATCATCATCATCATCATCATCATCATCAGCAACATCATCATCATCATCATCATCATCATCATCATCATCATCATCATCATCATCATCATCATCATCATCCACATAATCAACATCATCATCACCATCATCGTCAGCATCACCACCATCATCCTCATGATCATCCTCATCATCAACCTCATCCTCATACTCATCCTTATCCTCCTCCTCCTCCTCCTCATCAGCATCGTCATCATCAGCATCATCATCAACGACATCACAACTGTCATCATCACCACCACCATTTTCATCATGATCATCACCATCATGATCATAATCACAAGCAGTAGCATCAGCAGCAACATCAGCGTCAGCATCTACATCATCAGCGTCAGCATCTACGTCATCATCATCAGCATCATCATCGCTCCCCTCATCATTATCGTCGTCATCATCATCACCATCACCATCACCATCACCATCATCATCATCATCATCATCATCATCATCATCATCAGCAGCATCATAATCATCAGCATCAGCATCAGCATCATCACCATCACCATCATCATCATCATCATCATCATCATCATCATCGTCGTCGTCGTCGTCGTCCACGTCATCGCCATCGTCACAACTGCCATTGCCCCTTACGCAAGGTCATCGTCATTGTCGTCATTGTCATGATGTTGATCATGGTCATCATCACCACCACCATCCGCATCATCATCAGCATGAGCATCATCATCAGCATCATCATCAACCGAGTTGGTATCAGATCCATTACCATCGCCAGCATCAGCATCACCATCCTCACCAACATCATCAACGTCGTCGTCATCCTTCTCAGCATCCCCACTCTCAGTACCAGGACCTCTTGCTCCTCCGGAATGCTGCTCTTCGACCTCTGGAGGGCCTTCCCAGAAGCCAGGGCGGCGAGGCCCCCCCGGGGGGGGGGGCCCAGCCGTGGCCGGCTCTTCGGGGCGAGAGCCCGGCCGCGGCCACGGGGGTCTTGGAACAGCCTGGCACGTGAGCAGCACTGTTGCTGCTGGCTGCTGATCGCGTGCCATTCCACATAAGCCACCATTCATGCACGATAGGCGGTTGATCTCGCTGGCATGTGTGAGTTCCATCTTCTACCGTCTGGATCGTGAGTCGAAGTTCATAGCTATTTAGAACTTGTTGTCAACACCCCAGAGCAGCATGCCGACGGCGTGCAGCCGAAAGCAAGGCCAAGAAAAGCAGAATGAAGGAACCTGGGCCAACTTCCCGGAAGTGTCTCCACAGTATGCCTGGGCCGACTCGTTGTCAACGCTGGAGGGGCGAACGTGCTCAGGCAACCGGGCCAGCTGTCTGGCAAGTTGGTTAAGAAGCGCTGGCCCAGCTGTTCGGGAGGGTGTGTTTGAGTCTGATCCTCGACTGTACTGTATTCGTGCGACCGAAGCCTGTTTCTCCAAGCTCCTGACGAGCGGCCCAGTAACGCGGAAGCTCGGGCATTTGGGGAACAAGTGATGACCGCCGCAGCTCTCTGTTTCACTCGTTCCACAATCGATCGGGCCCTGGCGAGTCCCAAATTCAGGGCAGAAGCGTTGAGGTGATCCTCCGAACAACGAGCACACGAATAGCAACATGCAACCAGGCACGTCAATTCAAACTGCTGGCTTCCCCACTGATGTGACGGGGACTCCACGACGCATCCGCGCACCGAGGAGGACGAGGAGGACCTCACGTCAGGTGATCCTCACCCCCGCCCCCACCGATTGCGTACCCTGGCCCAGGGTAGAAGGATGCGCGGTAAGGATGCAAGGGCCTTGGAACGCCATGTTGACGTTTTCCGTGCGGAGCGCAGCAGAATGCCGAAGGATGCCGAATACCGAAGGGGCAAGGATGCAAGGGTAGCCTTGGAAAGTTGCCCCATCCTTACTATCATGGTTGACTGTACCCTGGCCCCCTCTTGTTCGCAGCCAGTCCTTCTCCTCGTCCCTATCTTTGCCGACGATGAGGCCCTTGCAGAACTTGATCGTCTGCTCCAGGAGCGTGATCTCCGCGATGTTGGGCTGCTCATTCTCCCTCTCGGCCCTCCTCTGCCGCTGCCGCTCCCTCCACTCCGCGGAGTCCTTGCCCCTGTCCTTGTCCTTATCCTTCTGGGGGGCTGCAGGGCTGCCAAACCCACGCAACAAAGTGCACTCCCTTGCTTCCCCACTCCCCCTTCCCCCGCCCTCCAGGGGAAAGAGACAGCGGGAGGAGGCGAAGGAGGAGCAGTGGCACTTCAACGCAGATTTCCCCCCTGGACGCCTGCCAAATGGAGCCAGAGCAGAGGGGGCCGATGGGATCGCACGGCATCGGCGATGCGGCGTGTTCCTCCGACCCCGTCTGCTCTGGCCCCACCTGGGAGCCCTGGGCCACTCCCGTCCTTGTCCTTGTCCTTTCCTTTGCCCTTGCCCTTGCTCCAGCTTCTTCCCCAGCTCTCCTCGGCGTGCGGCCAAGCGCCACAAGCCCCGCGCTGGGCCGAGCACCGCAGCGCACCGCCAAGGCCGCGCAGCGCTCGAGCGCGCGCCGCCCGCGCCGTGCAGGCGCCGAGCTCGCCGCGGGACGTGGGCCCCGTGCCCTGCCACCGAGGCACGAAGACCACATCGAATCACTGCTCCGGGGCGGACTTAGCGAGAAGAACACCCACCCCTGCGGCACGGGGCCCCCAGTGGTAATAACAGCGATCATAGTACCAGTAATAACCAACATCATAAGAATAAGCATCATCATCATGATCATCAGCGGCAGCAGCAACATCAAGAGCAGCTGCAGCAACAGCAACAGCAGCAGCAGCAGCAGCAGCGGCATCATCACCACACGCGGAGTCATTTAGCAAACGACCCCAAAGCAGGAACCAAACAGGCCAGGGCCGTCTAGTAAACGCCTCGGGTCGTCTGGCAAACGCCAATGATCGGGTCCGGTTGGCTTTTCCTCCCTTGAAAGATGCCGTCTCTCGTGAACATGATGCCTTCGCCGCCCTCCACATCGGCGCGCACCGGGGGGAAGTTTCCTGGGCCCGCGTGCTCTTCCCACCGAGAGGGCGATCGCGAGGCACGCGCCGCCCGCACCCGATCCGCCCAGGACGCCGCACGTCGCGATCCGCGCTTCGCGCGGAGCTCGACAGCGTGGTGCGTGCCCTCGCGGCCGCCCCTCTGGAGACGCGGGGCGCGATCGCGAGGTCATCTTCGCGCCCTCTGCGGGCGACCCCTGGTCCAAAACCCACGCGGCCTGCGCGGGAGTGCCCAATGCAGCCGGATGCTGCCAAACATGTCCCTGGCCCATTGCGCCCCCAGGATTTCAGGGCAACCCGGATCGAGACCCAGAAGGCTCCGGGTACGCCAATATGGAGCGAAAAACCAATGGCATCTAGTACAACAACCACTTCAGGAAACTTTTTGGGTTGGCGGCCACTAGCAAGGCAGGCGCCGGTGACAAGCATTGGGACGGGCGCTCAGCAAACGAATTGCGGCACGGAAGGAGTCAGGCAGAGGCGGGAGGTGGAAAAGAAAGAGCTGCGGTCAGAATATGGAATCCTTCACGCGCGTGCCAGAAGTGCACAGTGAACACGTAGAAGAGGTTTACGGGAAACAGGTCGAGCACAAAACTGCTTCCCTTCTGTCCTACTTCTGCAAAAACCCGATCCCATCTACCAGCGGGGTGCACCCCCTGACTCTGATTGATCCACCTGGAGTGTCTCTGGCCACTCCTTGGCAGATTTACGCGCGCTGCCGCCTGCGGTGTGTGTTACCCTTACTATGTAAATCCATCGATGCTTATTTAGTGCATCAGCTTATTCAGTAGTCGGCCTTAAATTTAGCGTCGACGCAACAAATTAGCGACAATCGTCGCTAAATCTGTAGCGGCGCGTACATCTTAATGACGACGACGGCGCGGTGTTGCCCCATGAGGAGGCGCACTTCTCCTGCAATGGGATCTTTTACTCACGCGCGGAGGAGGCCGCGCCTCCTGCGGCGAGCCATATGCTGCATGTGCGAGCGGTCTTGGCGTGTGGAGGGGGCGTCGCCCCCTCCAGGGCATCGCGTCGATCTCGCAGGGGCGGAAGTTGACTTCTTGTCATGGAGGCGAAGAACGAGGAGGCCGCGCCTCCTGCACGAGGGGAGGGGGGAAGAGGAATGGGGCGCGGCGAGCATGCGGACGTGGGGGCCGCGCCTCCTAGGAGCGACGACGGCGGCGCATCCAACCTCCCCATCGCCGCCGCAGTCTGCCATCGAGAGGCCGCGGCAACGGTCCCCCCCACCTCGGCGCGGGCCGCTCGCGCGGCGTCGGGGCGTGCGAAAGTGGAGATCGCCCAAGAGGATTTGATCGGGACCATCCGCAAGTGGCAGGGCGAGAGCCCGGGATTCCACTGCGCGGGCAGCTACGAGGACACCGCGCGCAAGAACGTGAACTTCCTGGCGAGCGCGAATGGGCGGACGGCGAGGTTGTCCGCGAAGGACCTCCAGAAGGGTCTGAAGGAGGTGCTCGGGGAGGCGGACCCTGCGTCCTCGGTGTGGGCAAAAATGATGGTGGAGACGCTGTCGTGGTGCAACAGGAGGATCGGCAGCAAGGAGTTGCAGCGCCTCCCTCCCGCGGTGCAGACGGTGATCCACGCCAGGAAGGCGGAAGCCGTGGGCGGCGGACAGCACTCGCCCGCCTCGACGCCGCCGAGCTCAGCAAAGCTTCGCGGCAGCCCAGGGGCGGCGTCGGCCGCCTCGGGCGGCGCCGCGTCCAGCGCAGCGGACCAGGGCGCGGCGATCCTGGCCCCACATGGCGCGAGGAACCCCCCGCGGAAGCGCAAGGGCGACGAGGGGGTGCACATCGCCCCGTCGCAGGAGACCGTGGCCAGCAGCCCGCCGAGCACGAGGGAGGCCCGCGCGGCGCTTGCGTTTCGCTTTGTACCATACATGAGAGAGAGGGAGGTATGGAGAGACAGAGAGAGAGAGAGCTCGAAGTTCGAAGTTCGAGAGAGGGAGAGAGAGAGAGAGAGAGAGAGAGAGTTCGATATGAAAACGCCCTCTCTTCTCTCTCTCTCTCTCTCTCTCTCTCTCTCTCTCTCTCTCTCTCTCTCTCTCTCTCTCTCTCTCTCTCTCTCTCTCTCTCTCTCCCCCGCCCCATCGCCCCCCCCCCCCCTTTCCACCGCCGAGGCGCAAAAGGGGGCGAGCTACCAGGCCAAGAAGACGGCGACCTTCAAGGAGGACGAAGACTGGGTTGATTACAACACGATGGTACTCGCGAGGGCTCGGCACTGCCCCGAGGCGTGGCTCGGGCTCAAGGAAGAGCGGTTCCGTCTTCGCCAGGGCACCAAGGGCTTCGCCGTGATCGCCGTCGACGGTGAGGCGGTCGAGACGCTCGCGGCGATCGCCGTCCTGCAGGCCGCGGAGCAGGGGGCCGAGGGAGGCAGCCAAGCCGCAGCAGGCTCACCCGAAGGGCGGGACGAAGAAGCGGCCAGCGGCAGCGCCGAAGAGGCCGGCGGCAGCGGACGAGGAGGAGGACGAGGAGGAGGACGAGGACGAGGCCAAGGAGGCCCGCGCCCGCGACGACAACGAGGACGGCGAAAGGGAGAGCAGCCAGGAGACGAACGAATCCGACCTGGAGGGCGCCGCGGGCGGCTCGAGCAAGCGGAGGCCGGCTGCGGCCGTCAGGAAGCCTGCCGCGGCCGAGGAGAAGCCTGCCGCGGCCGACAGGAGCCCGAGATTGGCGGTGGAGGAGGATTCTGTGAAGGGAAGCCAGGGTTGTCATGTGGTATAAGGCAGGCGAGAAGAAGAAGGCGGCCGTGGCGATCCACCAGGTGCACAAGCCGCGCAGCCAGGTGCGCCAGTGGACAGCGGGTGACTACTCCGAGGCGCAGATGCTGGAGATGGCAGCGGACATGGTCAGCAAGCTGTGCATGCGGGAGATCACGGAAGCGACCGCGAAAGCGCGAGGCGAGGAGTTCCTGCGCGACAAGTTCGGAGTGGCGGAGGCGGCGCGAGTAGAAGGAGGGAGCGGCGGCAGCGGAGATGCGCATGTAGAGCAGCCAGTTCTGGGCCACAGTCACGCAGCTGAAACAGGAGTTCGGAATCAGACCTTGCACCGTTCTCGATGCGGTCCGCTAAAAAGGAGGGGGGGCGAAGGGCGAAGGCAAAGGACGGGGGGGGGCGCCGCCTCCTGGGCGAGGGCCCGCCCCCGCGCGCAGGGGAGGGGCGCGTTGATCGACGGGGGGGGGGCGACGCCTCCCGATGGAGGCCCCGCCTCCTGCTCGGCAGCATCGCCCCCGACAGGAGGCTCCGCCTTCTGCTCGGCACCGCGTTCTATAGGAGGCGCCGCCACTTGGTGCATCTTGCTCCGAACGGCAGCTGGATGCACGTTTCCACTCGCCCGTCGCAGCCACGAGCGCTCCTCGCGGGGCGCCTGCGCGACGCTCGGGGCCGCGCGGTCCCTCCCAATCTGGGCCTCTCGGCGGAGACATGGCGGCCTGCTGGGCGCTGCTGCTGCTCGCCGCGCTGGCGCAGCAGGCGGAGGGGGAGTTAAGAGGGGAAAGCAGAGGAGGAGGCGTCGCCTCCTGAAGGAGGAGCAAGCGGAGGAGGAGGAGGAGCAAGTTTTTGTCACCATCCCCCCTGCCCGCAGGCGATGGCGATGCTGCGCCTCCAGCCGATGAGGCGCCCTGGCGGCGGCGGCGGTGGTGGGCCGCCTGGCGAGGATCCTTTCAAGGACACGCTCCGCGACGGATTGCCAGGCGGTGGCGAAGAGGCGGAGCAGGAGGAGGAGGAGGACGACGACTGCCTGCTGGTCTGTGAGGGCGAGCCCGAGGAGGAGCTGAGGTGGCTGCCCGCGGAGATGGGGAAACGCGTGGCGCGCGTGTGGGTCAAAGCCCGTGGCGGCATGCGCTGCGTGCACTGCCAGCAGGACAAGTTCGTGCACGTGTGCCTCGGCCACACGTGCCAGAAGCGCAACCAGGCCACCCACAATCAGCACATGGCCATCGCGGCGTGGCCGAAGGCGCGAAACCGCATGTCCAAGGAAGTGCGGCAGCGCGAGTTCCTGGGGATACACACTCAGAAGGCACAATGTCGCACGGAGGCAACGCCTCCGGCAAAAGAATGCAACAAACGGCAACACACACACATACGCAACCTTCCATGCCCAGGTTCATGGCCAAGCAGCGCGCCCCGGAGGCGTCGCTGGCCGCGGACGCGCAGGAGGCGGATGATGCGCTGCGGCGGACGCGGCAGAAACAGGCGGGGTGATTTCGAAGTCCCACCGCACGGGTTCGACGTGCGAAGTTCAAAGTTCGACATTCGGATGTCGAGTTTCGAACTTTGAACGTCGATCTCGGGGCGGACATGGTACTTGAGGAGGCGCTGCCTCCTGCAGCATCCCCTCCCCCGCCCAGGTGGGCTCCGACGTGCTGGTGAACCGCCGCCGCCACCGCCCGCAGGGAATGGCGCCGTGGGAGGCGGG